TGGTTAGTGACTTAGTGGGTGGGATTATCAAAGACATTGCCTTGTTAACAGCCTGTTTGCCTATTTCATGTTGTTTCTGATTCGTGATGTATAGGTGCCCAGATCCAGTGGCCCAAAAGGTTGGGAGATGGTTTGCTTTCAAACCAGTTGAATTTCTTTCCCTTGCAGGAGAAGCTTTTCCTCAACCCCTCGCTGTGCAGACTTTGGAGGATCGATTTTCTTGTGGTTTCTGTTTTCACCATCAGAGTGTGCCAGGGATAGCTGCAGTGCGCCAACAAAGGGGATTTATGCAACACACACACACAACAAAAGTACTCAAGTATGTTCAAGTATAGCAACCAGGTTTAGTTATAGTAACACAAGTTCAGGTATAGTAACACGGTAATCACCAAAAAGATAGAACAGTGAATTATCATGAATTATCACTATTTTTTAGAAACAAGTACGTATCTTTTTGGGTTGTTAAGAAAAAAGTCACAAACAGTTATAGGCTAGTTATAGGTATTTGCGTATAAAGTCGTGTAAATATATATATATATATATATGTATACACATGTGTGCGCACAGAACAGATATCATGCTTGCTTTAAGGACTAGCTTCGATTCTCGATTGAGGGGCAGTAGCAACTCGAACTCCAGGAATCCCATGAAAATCCAACAGCGCCTGTCCCAAAGACCAATCCGCTTTGTTCTAAAATCATCACGCAGAATTTTAAAGTAAAAATCCCTTCCCCCCGTAATAGAAGAATAAGCACTACACACCAATCGAAATCCTTCTATACTTTATTGGATTTGTTCTTTTTGGCCTGGGGGGAAATTCATAGTGAATATGGTCACTCATGGTCACTCGCAATCATGATTATATCCCAGAACTGAGGTCAGTGATCGAGTGGCACTGGGGACCGCCTGCCAATGTGGTGGCACTAAATGCGAAAAGTCGATGCTTGGCCAATCATTGCTTGGACGACTTGAGGCCTGATCCAGTAGGAATTACAATGACTTACATACACTTATGATACCAACATATATCAACTCGTTGGTGGCTTCGATGTCAGAATGATTCGGCATATGAGCGTTATTTTCACCCCTGGGCTATTCGGGATGATCCAATGAAAGATATGGAGGCAACAACCACACGGGTAAAGGATTTGTAAACAGATATCACCTGTCACTATCTCTGGGAGTAGCGTTGTATCGTTGGGCGTTATTCAATCCGACTATATTAGTAATTGAAAGTTCATGGGGGTTGGGGTGAAATGGTTGCCCGATTTCAAAGTAGTGTTTGGAGCCCATCACCCAGAGCGAAGCAAGAAGAAACACTGGGGGAACCGCTGTGTTGAGCCTTCAGAAGCTCATATACGGGCTCTAAGATTTGCCAAACTAGAGCGGCAAAAAAAAAGTTGTTCACTCGGCTTGCTGGAAAATTTACTTCAAATCATTATCCATCATTATCCTATATTTTCCCACTCAGGATTGGAATTGTCCATTGCCATGTTCCAATTGCCGGAGGGCAAACCAGATATCGCACAGCCATCATTGTTCATTTTTTGCTTACGGCTATACTCTACTATGATAATGCGTTTTGTATTGACACATGTTACACGGTTTTCAGTTTTCAGGTTCCTTTGGTGATTTGGAGGTTTCCGTCCAGTCATGGTACCCTTAGTCATCCAGCCATGTTCATAGGATTCCCATGAAACAAACCATCCAGCGATTGTGGAATCCCCATGACGACATGGAACCCCCCATCTGTTCAAGCCAAGGAGCTTCTGCTATGCCTCCTGACACTGGCGATTTCGAGAGAGATGGGAAGTGGTTGAGAAACCCTATGTTTTATTAGTTCGGGACTATAACATACTATAACATAATATAACTTAACACTGTCAACACATGGGACGGCGATGGAGAGAGATAACATACATGCTAGAACCAGTACTACCCTGTTTGGTGGTCTCAAATGTTACTGGTGAAAAAAATCTAGAACGGGGTTTGGTGATCCGCAATGACATGACCATATAGGGGTTTCCATAAATGGAGGTACCCCCAAATGGATGGTTTATAATACTTTATAGTGGAAAATCCTATTAAAATGGATGATTTGGAGGTACCCCTATTTCAGGAACCCTCCATATATATGTCACGGCTTGAATTTAGCGGGGAATAGCTAGGGATCAAAACGAGATACCTCTAATGGGCTAGAGATGACCATTTTGGCCACACAAAATGTCGGGGCGTTGACCCGCAATCCGATACCCATATTAATATAGGATTACGAGCTATGAAAGAACATCGACCAGATGGTATCAGATGGTCTGAATATGTCTTATTCATTCGTGACTATCAGGCATCGAAACCATTTAAGTTATAAACAATTCTTGACAACATTTACAACAGTTATCACCCAGCATATCACACAGAAAGATGAGATAAACACCATTTGCACACGCAAGGCGGGCAAATCTTTGGGTCCCACGTTGCGAGGCCTTGGAAGAAGATGGAACGCCTAGCTGTGAGGAGATATCCAGGTGTGGAACTGCGGATGACCTACATTGACCATGGGAATATAGATGGGCTGCTTATGGTTGTTTCAGCAACAACTGCTTGGTGGTTTCAAATATCTTTGTTTTCTCGAACCCAAGCTATGATGCTTCCAACTGACTCCTATAGGACGGAGGTTTCAACTGGCACTAAGCCACGGGAAGCGAAACTGGACTGTTTATTTGAAAATTGCCCCCTGAAACAAATTGAAACAACTGCAAGAAGATGAAACTCTTAAGAAAGGGTTTATCATGTTTTATCCGTGCGGGCGAGTTATCATTACCCCTATATGGCGACCACCCCACAAAAATATCATTGTTTCAAAAAGACGTACCCCGAAATCATTCTCGCAAAATTCAATGGCTGGTGAGTTCTTACATTGGCTTTGGTTCCATAAGCTGTGTTCAGAGTTGATAGGACATAGAACCAGTCAACATGAGTCAACCATGGAGATCTACAACTAGCCGCAACCTAGCCAACAATGCTCGCCTTGCCAACAAATGTGGTCAAGCCATTCGGTGCCCCAGAATCCTGAAGATAAATTCCTTCGATCAAACATGGCAATGGGAAATCTTTTGTACATGGACATCTAGCATGGAACATCACTTTTCAATAATTAGGGGAAATTGTCTATTGCCATTTTGATTAGGGTCAAGGCCTAGGAGGCCATGGGAGCAGCTCCTGTTCTTTCAGAACGTTGAATTACTGAGGGACTCTGAGGGACATGTGTTTAATCCCATGCCTACCAACTATCCTCAATGTTGCCATTAAAACCCCATTAATGCCAATGTTGTCTTTCGGTTAAGACCCAATTGTACTGCTAAATGTGGTTAGTGTATGTTAGTGTTTCCATCATGCAAGAAATCCAAAATCTTTCCAATCCAGCAGATGCTAATCCCATTTGACAAGAATATCGTAGAAATTCCGGGGTGGCCCAACCACAGATCCCAGAATAATAGGGAGATGTTGAGATCTAGATAAATCAATTCCATTTGATGTTTAAAAACGCACACAATTTTCCGGTAGATTTTCCCGTGAACCAATCCATCGAAACTTGGTTTGTACCATTTAACCCAAGCATGGAAACCAATTACGGCACGGTAAAATCCAATTGACACTCTATCAAACCTGTTCAAACCAAATTAAACCAATCAAAATGCATATAGAGCCCCTTGAGACCAAAAAAACATTTAGTTATATAAAACTTCTTAACACTCACTGTCAGCCGGCCTTAAAGCCTCTCAGCACCTCTTACAAGCCAATTAAAACACCTTAAGACTTAGTAAAACACCATTAAAATCAAATGATATCCCACTAATTCGCCACTTTCTCTGGCAAAAAATGCACTTTTCAATTCCCTTCGGAGGCAAGATCCTTCTCTACTGGACCTCTATGGCATTACCAAAAATGGGCCAGCGGATGGCAAGGACGCTGGTGCCATCAACGGACGCGAGACGCTCGGATGCTGATATGATGGGGGTCTACCAATGGGACATCATGGGAACATTAGTTTCATAAATGATTAATAGGGATATTATTCATGATTAATATTAATGATCAAATGATTAGTGACATCATGGAAAATATAATAACTAGTCGAAGTTCTCTGCTAGTTCATGATCTCTGTTAGTTGCCAACAAGTTTCAAACTCGCAGTTGCACATATATAAGGGGGAGTTTTGGGCACAAGTTTCAAACTCTGTTAAGTTTTTTAACTTAACTTGGTGGCACGGGTCAAGTTAAGTTGTACCATGTGTTGGAGGGGACAAACCTCCAAATAGCAACCAAGTTGTGGTCTATAGGGCGCCAGGGTTTTGAACCATAGCAGACACGCCCACGCAGCGGCGCCTTCGTGTGCCGCGCGAGCATCTTTGAGGGAGGTTTGTTTCTTATGTTGGGCCGCCACCCACACCCCGGTCCCCGCCGGGACTTGAGGCGGCTCAACATGGCATCCCGCCACATCGGGAGATGCTGCGCTACGCCACCGCTAGTCAGCCCCTTGACGCGCGCCGGCGCTCCTGCACAGCGCCCACGCCAGGAACGGCGCAGCGCTTGCCGCCGTCAGCGCAAACTGCAGCAGCGCTTATATCCTCCAACCGGGGCCGGAGAGCGCCTCCTCGTCCTCGCGGCCGAGCTGGGCAGCCGATGGCATGCCGATTGCCACGAGCTTATCCGGCTGCTCGTTGCCACATGTTGCCACCCGCGCACCGCGCGCGTCGACCGCGATCGGCGCCGCAGCCGCCGCCGGCTGGCGCCCGCGCACTAGGCGGCGAGTGGCTGGCTCCTCCTGCCTTGACCCCACCGGGCGGGCCGAGCCGAATGCCAATGCGCATTCCAGGCTCCACTGACACCCGGGACTGGTTGCGCGCCGGAAGAAAAAAATGTGAACCATCCTTTTTCCCATTTTGTGGCTTTGAGGCTGTACATTCCGGGCACGCGCCATTACAGTGGAGAAAACCATCGAGATTTCATGATGGCCCGGTCTTACTCTGCTTTACGGTGGTTTGCACAGAGGAGTGGTTGACACAAGTTGCACATGGTCACATGGTCGTATATGTTGTATTGACTGCTTACTCATTCTATAAAGATATTTGCGTGGTGTTTTTCCGCTGTTCTATGGGGATCTTTGATTTGTGCTCATCCCAGTAGTGACGGCGAGCAAGTTGGGGGATCGGATAGCCCAACATTATTTGTTTTCTCCGAGGGAATCAGTGCTTCAAAACCCATGTTGATGGTTAATGGGTGCTATACAATCCAAGATGTTGTGGTTTGTCACAATCCATTTAGGGACACCCTATTCACATCTGTTCACCATCTATCCTCATCTTGCGAGTCTTGCGAGGCACAGTGTCACAATGATTCGACCACAGCCCAGGTTGAAATTCTATAAGAAATCGGCTACTGGATTGCAGTTTTTGAAGCTTTGTGGGTTACGGTCAGCTCATACACATACTGACCAAGAGGTGCGGATTGTCCCACACACCTTCTGAGTTTAACTCGGAAAGCAACAACGGCTCTATCCAATAGAACAAATTTCCAAACTCAATTTTTGAGGGCCATTGGTTAAATAGTATATATATATATATGTATTTAATTATATATATGATTAAAGAATTTATATATATATATATTGCACCTGTACACAAACAGCATTTGACATATGACCAAAGGAAGTTTAGTTAGAAAACTTCCGTGTCATGGGCAGCATTCTCACCATCATGTCAACCAGATCATCATGTCAGACACATCATCATCAAGTAGTGCAACAGGTCTGGAAGGCGTAAGTTCAGGCTTGAAAACACTCTCGGGCGCGAAACCCTGCGTTTTTTTTGGTAAAGTGGCTTCCGTGGTCGCCGAAGTAGGGTCTCTGTTTTTGCGGTTGCAGGCCTCGATCTGCAAAAGTTGCTAACGAAAAGTGCCCAGGACTGTAGCGAGGGCTCGCTTTGCACTTCAACATGTTGAAAAAATTGGACGGTTCGGAGCACTTTTGGAAGATGAGGTCGGCAAAATGTGTACGAGACTTTAGTGAGAGCTCGATTTCACATAAAAAACGTTTAAAATAAAACTGGCGGGTTCGGAGCACTTCTGGAAGATGCGGTCAGCAAAATGTGCACGAAACTGTAGCGAGAGCTTGGTTTCACATAAAATTCGTAAAAAAAACTGAGGGTCTCAGACAAAGCACCTTTGGAAGATGAGTCGTCAAATTTCATTGATTCATTGGTTCATTCACTCGTTCATTCCCAGTCGGTCCAAAGGACGAGTTTAACGCGGCCGTTAGAGTAAAGGACCCAAATGACTAACTAAAGGCTTCAAAAAACTTATGCAATTGAAACAAAAATCCGCATCGTAAGATCAGCAGAAGCCACATAGAGCGGGAGCACTTATGAGAAAAAATTGTCACAAAATCGGAAAACCATTCTTTCTGCAATTTTTTGCGCAAACCTGATTTTGCGTGTTTTTTTCACGGCCTTTTCACGGATTTTTCGCTTAGCTTTTCATGGCCTTTTCGCGATTTTTTCACGGCGTCACTATTTTCGCAAATCTCGAAGTTGCGCCCTCAATTTTTCCAGCATTGGACTTCTTTGGGGATGGGACCTTGCTCGGCTAATTAAGTCTCACAAAAAAACGACCTCAAAAATAATCACATAGAGAAAACCTCAGTCCTAAAGGCCTAGTTTAGCGAGGACTTGGACCGACAGGCATTGATTGATTCATTCATTCTTTCATTCCTTCATGCATGCATGCGTTCAGTCCGTCATGCATGCATGCAATCATGCATTCATGCAATCATTCATTCGTGCATTCATTCTTTTTTCCTTTCATGCATTCATCAGTTTATTCATTCAGTCATTCAATTACTCATTTCACTCATTCAATCAATCATTTCACTCATTCATTCATTGATTCATTCATTCATTCATTCATTCAGTCATTCAGTCATTCAGTCATTCAGTCACACGTTCATTCATGCAATCAACCAATCATGGAATCATGCATGCATGCATGCATGCATGCATTCATTCGCTCATTCAGTCACTCATTCATTCATTCATTCATTCATTCATTCATTCATTCATTCATTCATTCATTCATTCGTGCATTCGTTCATTCGTTCATTCGTTCATTCGTTTATTCGTTCATGCATTCATTCCTTCATTCGTTCATTCCTTCGTTCATTCCTTCATCCTTCATTCCTTCATTCGTTCTCATTCGTTCGTTCATTCGCTCATTCGTTCATTCGTTCATTCGTTAATTCGTTCATTCATTCATTCATTCACTCATTCATTCATTCATTCATTCATTCATTCATTCATTCCATTCAGTCCATTCATTCATTCATTCCATTCAGTCCATTCAGTCATTCAGTCATTCATTTATTCATTCATTTATTCATTCATTCATTCATTCATTCATGCATTCATTCATTCATTCATTCCTTCGTTCAGTCGTTCGTTCATTCATT